TGCCTTCAAAACAGACAGAAAAATAGCAGCCATCCTCAGAAACCCCAAAGACAAAATTGACCTGGAAAACCAAGGCATATACGAAGTCCCCTGTGCATCATGCCCGGCCACATACATTGGACAGACCATAGAAGAATAAGCACCCGCCTGGATGAACACAAAAATGCAGTCAAAAAGCTGGAACACACTTCCTCACTAGTCCAACACATGGAAGCCACAGGTCATAGCATCAACTTCAATGGCACCAAAACCCTGGCCACTATAGAAAACCCTAATCACAGAATCATCAGAGAAGCCATAGAGATTGAAAAAAGACCAGAAAGCATGAATAGAAGAGATGATTCCACCAGGCTGTCAATCATTTGGAAGCCTGCACTCACAAACAAAAAAATCTCCACACCACAAGCCAGGCAAACACCTGGGCACAAACAGATCCCCCCTGATACCTCCAGCTCAAACACATCCCAACCAGGCACCCAGATGAAACCCAACTTCCTAACTAATGATAGCCGTCCATTTACCCGAAGCCAAGCTGCACTAAAGGCCTCCAATAAAGTAACACAATGCTGCCAGCCAATCAAGATACAAAAAGAGCCAAAAAACAGACAGAAGATATTAGAGACACCAATCAAGCAGAACACAGCAAACCCCGAGACCAATAAACACAGACCAAGACTCCCAACCAATCAGGATGAAGAAAAAACCATTCTGGCACAGCAATAGGCTGCCCCAAATTTAAATCTGAAACCACTGTAAAAGTCTGACTCACAGACGGACACAATACAGAAGCCTGATGATGGCAGATGAGATTCTGCTGAAACGTTGCTACAACTTTAAAAGCACCACTACTATGACGTGGGAAAATACCCGAACAAAGCTGAAGGCCATACATGTAAGTACCCGCGAAAACTTTAGAAAACTATATATATATATATATATGTGTGTGTGTGTGTGTGTGTGTGTGTGTGTGTGTGTGTATTTTCTTAATGTTATTTGCTTTGTCCAATATACATATCTAGAGAGTAAGTCATATTAAAATTAATGGAACTAACTCTTAGATTGCTTTTTGCCAAATAACTCAGTGTTGTGGCCCATCGGCTGCCAGCAAAGCTCGCTGCAGAGTCAGACAAGGAGGTGGAGGGAGAGCCTAGGTCAACTTTGGAGCCTTTGGAAGGCTCTGATGAGGAAGCAGAATCAGAGGCAGAGGCAGAGCCAGGGCGTTCTGTCCTCCCCCAGATGGAGAGATAGCTATCCTTGGGGCCTGAGATGAGTGAGAGGGAGGAACAGATTGGGCCCATCCCAGACGTACATATGCACAGAGAGGAAAAGATAGGAGAGCAAAGGAAAACAATAAGCCATCTTTCAAGGAAAAGCAGAAGTGAATGCTAGCCAGCCCCTCCTTGGCTGGGAAATAGGGGTTTGGGAGTGGCCAGTAATCACAGACAACTGTTCACTTTTAGCAAGCAATTCAGATTTCTTGGCCTCGTCTGTTGGAACTAATTACGTTTGATTTTTGTTTATCCACATGAATGAAAGACTGTTCCTACCCTGTTTGAAAAGGGTTTGTTTGTATTCGTGAGTAAGTGGCTTATCATTACTTGCTAAGACTGGATCAGAACACTTAGAACAAGGGAAGATAGAAAGTAGATTCTATGAATTGTTGCTACATGGCAAGTCCACTCATTAGGAAATTTTAATTAATATATATCAAAATGGAAATGACATTAGTATGTAAAATCCCATGAGAAAATAAATATATGTTGTTTCATTTTCCAGTATAGTCATACTTTATGTTATCATTGCTTATGAGAGAGTTCATTTGAAATTGGTTTCAGGAAGAAAACTGATTCTTAATTCACAGAAAGTTACTTAGATGAATTGTATGCTCAGCCCAGTATTTTATGACCTGCTTTGCAGCAGCTTCTTTAAATTTAAAGATGAACACTCAGAAATGTCTGGCTTTATATTTCAGAATGTAAATTATTGCATCTAGAAATGTTTCTGTGCAAAGGAGGTATGGTTCTTTGAACAATGGTCTTCTTGCTTGGGGAAAAATATCTCAAAAAGCAAAGAGTAAAAGTACTTTCTTTTGTAATTATAATTCTTCCTTCTGTGTCTACTATATGTGGCAGGGATAAGAAATATTTGAAAAACCACATGGTCACCATCAGATTTCACAGCACAACATGTTTTCAAAAGTCATTGTAATTTGTGCAGAGGCTGGAGAAATAGAGAAAATACTGAAGCTGTTTTTGTACTAAAGAACATGGCATCTATTCACCTTCTGCTCATGCATTCCAAAAGTTTTTGATACTGTTATGATAATGTGACACCAGATACCTGGTTTGTAGTTGAAAGTATGCAGTGAAATCATGTTGCTCTGCAATGTATGCTTGGTGTCTGAAATGAAGCTTGAAGGCTTTAATGATGCCTCAAATGGCTCTGAATAAATACACTCCCCACCCAGCCATTATAATGATTTATAATTGGTACAATAATGTAATCATCTGGTGTTCATGACTATAGCATTCACTATACACTTTTGCTCTATTAAGACTACTCCTGTTTAATAAGCTCTTTTACTTAAGAGAGAAATGAATGATGTATCTAGGAATCTTATTTATTTTGAAAGTAAGGTTGATACTAATGTCAAAGGTGTCTCTTTATACATCGATATATGTCCAGTAGTGGGTTCCTACGTTGGTTGTTACCAGTTCAGTAGGTGATTGCACGTGCGTGCGTGCCCCTAATGTGTGTGCATGTGCCCCTAACACACCAATCAGCTGAGAGGATGAAGAAATGAAAAGCTAGGAGTGACCCTCCTACCCACCCATGCGCTTGTTGCTTCTTTTATCCTTTCAGCTGATCATCGGAGGAACTGGTTTGGCTGTACCGGTAGTGTTTTTTTTTTACTACAGCCGAACCGGTAGCATACCACCATTGTATATGTCCCTCCTTAGTATTACCACACATTCATATGCAATTTAGGTAACTGCAAAGCAGGACAGATACTGTTATCGGTGCTAATAAAAATACTAGAAATATGATTATAGTTTTTCATCCTTTTTGAGCCCTGCTTTCTTTTTCTTCTTCTCAGAAATAGAAATATAGCACATATTATGATTTGTTATGTTTCATTTATCTTAGAAAATTAGTATATGTATGTGTACCAACATTATTGATTGATTACAACTTTCCCCAGACTAGAAATTCTGAATGTTGCAGTGCCAGCACATCTGGAATAAACCAAAATTGAAGAAAGTTGAAATAAAGTCTCTGTTAGACAAGAGAATCATCAACATGTGGGGGAAAAGTAAGGAAATATCATTCCAGATGCTACTCTCAGCTGGTTTAATCTGAAAGAGCAATTGCTGAGTTTGTGGGGCAATCTGTAGAAAAAGCAATGGGAAGATTATAAAATGATTTACATTGTAGAATGATGTCAAAAAATGCAAGTTTCTGCAGATAAGATTAAACAGCTTTTTTTTTAAATACTGAGTGCAATGGGATTCAAAAACCAGAGCAGATGCTATGTGATGCATCTGAAAGAGAAAGTAGAGTGCAGACAGAATCTGTGACAGTCGTTTGAGAATAATATTCTACAGCAGAAACAAAGGACTAACAGTATATGCAACTAATTTAGAACTGATAGAGACTTATTAAATACCTAGCTCTTGAGTTTTCCAGAATAAAAAACTGTATAATCTTCAAGAGAACCTGATTTCTTGGCATTCTATAGACTTAAATTACCAGTTTTCTAGTTATCTGTCTTCTACATTAACATTACAGTAAACAATTCAGGATATACTGTATATCTACAGGTGAAACTCAAAAAATTAGAATATCATGCAAAAGTTCATTTATTTTAGTAATGCAACTTAAAAGGTGAAACTAATATATGAGATAGACTCATTACATGCAAAGCAAG